AGCAGCAGCAATAGCAATAGCAATAGCAATAGCAATAGCAACAGCAACAACACCAACACCAACACCAACAAGAACAATAACAAGAACAAGTCCCAAAGGTTGGTTGCGAAGACTTCAAGTCTCAATGGAGAACTCAGGAGCATCAAAGGCGTGGCCCCTTTGTGATGATACGCCAGCAGAGTCCAGCTTGATGGGCTGATCCTGTGCCTGGGATCCCGTTTTTCTTGCAGTGAACGGTTTAGGGGTTGGTGGGCTGTAAAATGGAAACTGCCTTGTCCAGTATACCAGGTCCGACCACATGTTTGTAGACATGCAAGCATAAGCTGCTGACATCTTGTTGAAAGGGAGTGTCTCAGGCCGTTCCTAGATTCCTAGGGTGCCATAAAATGCCAGGATGCCGCGCGCTTGCCACATGCAACAGGATCCACCAAGCCGGCTGCTGGATCTGGATGTCGAATGGCTCATTCAAGTTCGCTCTTGCCCGTAACAAGAACCGAATTGGCTCTTCATAGGCACCATAAAAGAGCAGGGCATAATGCAAACCGAGCCGTAAGCTTGTCGAGGGCACTTGCGTCAGAATCTCGGCCATCGCGCCCACTGCTCCGTTTGAACAAGCAACTTCGAAGACGTTCATGCCGACGAAGTTTCGCCGTTGAAAGTCTGCACGTGCCTGGCACAGAAGGCGCAGGCCAGCAACGTTGTTTGCGAGGCTCGCCCAATGTGCGGCAGTGGCATTGATCATGTCTGCACTCGTAAGCGTGGCACGAGCTTCCAAGAGGATCTCCATAACCTTCGCAGAAGCTATTGGATGTTGAAACAGGGTGGTCTACTCGTCGTAATTCATCAAACAAGCTAAGCGTGGGGCTCGTGAAAGGCTTTGACTGTTGCGATGTCAACCCGTTTGAAACCCTGGGGTCCTAAACTTATACGCGCAAGATAAACCTAAACAATTATAACCCCCAAAATCTAGCAACCTGAGTCCTGCCTCATTGTTGTGAAAATGTGCCGCCATGGAAAGCACGCCCACCCTCGCCTGGGTGCTTGTTGAGGAGTTTAGGGTGCATAAGTTTATTGCAGGGTTGCTGTGGGTTTCAGGGTTATGGTTTCTTGCGGTTCGTAGCGCTGTACAAAATGCCATAAAAGGATTTGCAAGGCATTTCATGTAGGCGAACCTTTTCGGGAGTTGGAGAGCATGCTACATTTTCCTCGTCACAGTAACTCTAGCTGAGTTCTTTCAAGCAGCCCTAAGCCCCAAACCCGAAACACCAATCCAGAAAGCCCCAAACACGAATCCCCAAACCCCTGAACAGACTCTTTCGGCCGGAAAGAAACCGTAAACGCTAAGAACATTACGAGGTGCCGGAAAGAGAGACCCCTCCGAACGTCTGAGCCGATCGTCAGGATTCGCCTTCCAGAGAGTTCTGCGGGTTTGGGGGTTTTGGGTTGAGGGTTTAGGGCCTGGGGTTTAGGGGTTTTGGGTTTAATGGTTTGGGGTTTGGGTCTTAGGGCTGAGGGTGTAGAGTCTCTAGCATACACAGAGAACAGTTTGGCAGGTCGCTAAAACCTATACTTTAATGTACACAGATATTCTGTTTATAGGCAAGACAGCCAGAATGCACCACGCAAAATTTTAGTTGAGCCAAATACGTCACCACAGGTAAGGCTAGCTACATCTTCTACAAACGACACCCGCCGTGCGTCTTAGTGCAACGGAAGAGGCAGAAGGCAATGTAGAAAGAAAGACTAGCCGCTACGAGTAGGATGACGTCAACAGCAAAAGGATACAGAACCCGAAAATAGATGAGCAGGTCATCTTCACCCTTATCTATATGCTGTCGGGACTGCAGCCGACCTGTGAGGGTGGCGCCAATGACGATTCAAGCGTCCCGTTAGCGAGGCGAATCAAGTCCAGGCACGATGACCATGAAAAGAAAGCGCCATCAGTAATTATTGACGGTAGCCCAGTTGCGAATGAATTGCAGGAGATTGTCGTTAATCATGACCACGTTGAGCAAATCTTCCATGTCGTACCGGAACAGTGAAGTGCATTAGTGGCCGTATAGGCGTCGAGCTTCCACAAGACCTGCCTACCTCGAACAAGACGATTCTCATTCCCCTCTCGTTGTTTGAACGTGCCTATCTGTCGAGCGAAATCGCCCTCCAGAACACTAGTGACAGCGGAGAAGATCTTTGCGTCATGAGTTGCGAACCCGCCAGCGTCACCAAGCATCTCCTGCGTGGTTGTCTCCTTCCTTACCTCGGAGAGCCATTCGACAGACTCGTCCGGACGGTCGGATGTGGCCACAACGGCCTCTCGAACAAGGAGCCGCCAGTTTCTGTAAGTCTCTGGCTGCGGAAACTTCGGGAGCACCACCTTTCAGCTACCTTCGGATCTCGGGTCTTCCTCTCTTCAGCAAATCTTTTTCGAGATATCGATGGACGATGAAGGAGAGCTTGACGAATCGCGGTTCTGCTGCTTGTTCTTCTTCTTCTTATTTGTCTTATCTTTCTGTTTCTTCTTCTTGTGATCACGGTCACTATCGTCATCATCGTCAGGATCATCGCCATCATCATCATCATCGTGGGCCACCAACATCATTGATGCCACCCATTCCTGGGGGCGTAGCAATTCCATGGAACGCTGGAGTCACATGCCCCGTGAATTGTGAGACATTGGGAGGCACAGAGGAAGTTCCTTCTGCTGCCGTAGCTTCTGCCAGGCGATTTCTCAGCTCGGCAGGACCTCAGCTGATTGAGCTGACTGACATGGAATCAGCGGCACTTCGAGCTTGTGCCTTAGCAGCAAGCTCCCTTTCAGCATGATGCACAACTTCATTGACAGTTGTTTCGGCTTGGTGAAGCTTGATGTTCACATCCGTGGCTTCTCTACACATCTGAGAAAAACTTCCAAGCAATGCTTGCTAGCCATGCTTTCGCCGGCTGCTCTGACCGCCTCTTCCCGATGTTGAAGACGGTTCTCGGCTTGAAGAAACTCAAGTCTGAGTCTTGACGCACATTCCCCCATGCTGAAGCCTGACAAACTGCTCCATAAATTGTTCATTTCTTTCGATTTCTTTCGTTCATGATTGCCGAGTGCCCAGCTTCGGCTTCTGCAGCAACAGCCTGTGTCATTCTGAACGACGACCTGTTGGTTGAGGGTCGGTGCTAGGACTTGGTTGTGGTAGAAGTTCGACACTTGTGAAATCTCATTGGGTGAATAAAGCCACGAAGTTGCAGCTGCCGGCGACCCCGCTAGAGGTGCGTATGCAGGGGATGGCGTGGTAACATATTCCCATTCTGAAATTGCACCTACCGTTCGTCTTCGAGGGTCGTCTATTCCCAGCAATGCCAGCGACCTTTCAGTCAACCGTATAGTAGCTTCACCGGAGCGAGGGCCAACTGATCCGTGCTATCTTCCTGAACGGACATAGCAGGAAGTGAGGGCGCCTCCTCGGTTGTCGAGTGAGGTATTGGTATGCCTGCAGGGCTCCCGGGAGCTGGTTCGATTGCGAACTTCTTCCACTTTGGTGAGACCTACGGCTGATAACCTATGTTTATAGGCAAGACGGGCAGAATGCAATACGCACCTTTTACTTGAACCAAATACGTCACCACAGGCAAGGCTAGCTACATCTTCTACGAACGACAGATATATGCAAACACATATTCTGTCTATACATATATATATATGGAGAGAGAGAGAGCTTCTGATTACTATCCCAGAAGTGTACTTCTTGGTTAGGGTTTGCTGGGCTCGCAAACGTCGAAGGTGGGAGCCATCCTGATGCTGTCAAAGAAAGATAGCTGGTTCAGGAGGCAGTTGCTGCAAGAAGTTCAGATTTGAGCGTGACACTCCAGACCGTAAACATCCCTACGCCCTAAAGGCCTGAACCTTCAACTGCCGTAAACCCCAAGATTGAAATCCAGAGCCCCAAAACTTGCCCGAAAGCCTTGAAAAAAACATAAACCTTAAGCCGGATGGAGGTGGAGGGTTTGAATCGGCTCTGAAACACCAGGAGTCATGAACTAAGCAAGCATCCCGCAAATTGTCGGTCAGAGAAAATGCAAAAAATCAAGAAAGGAGTTCGTCTCTAACTTGCTTCAAATACATCGCAGAACTCGAAACTCCACTAATACAGAAAGCCCGGTATCTATAATCAAGAAACCCGAGTAACTATAATTCTTATAAGGAGCTCTCCTATACTATAGCTACTATAGCTCTCATAAGGAATCATTGAAGACAGTCGGTCGGTTTATGACATCTGCGTGCAAGATTGTGAGGCACAGGAATAAGGTATCGGCGTTTAGTATATTGTATCTATAGTAATCAAGGTCCCAGAACCGTGCGAAAATAGTATGAACACATAGTCATGCTTCTATAGTGGGGGTTTTCCTGCTCGGGCTGTAGCAAGGGACCCTCATCAATCGGGTATTGACCTCGATAGCGGCTTCTGAGGCCGTATAACCCCAACGTTCGAGCCTGAACACACCAAGCCAAGGATCAGCGCACCCTTGCAATGAACTACAAAGGTTTGCAACCGCTGCGATGCGCATGCACCATGCATAGTCTTCAAACCTTAAAGCCCCAATCCCGAGGCCCTAAGCCCTAAGACCCTAATCCCCGAAAGCTCTCGTGTCAACACCCCCGGATTCTTGAGACAAGGCCTTTTGGTTCAGAAGTGCTCGGACGAGCATCGGGTTCCCGTTCACGGCTGCAAAACAGAGGGGCGACCAACCCGAGCCTCGGCTTGGGGGTTTTTATCAGGCTTGAACGGGATTCTGTGAGGTTAAACACATACATACATACATGTATGTATATATATACACACATAAATATGTATATATATATATATACATATATATATACATACATGTAGATGTACACAAACACCCTAATAACAGTACATATATGTAAATACTGAACATACAATTAAATACATAACATGTAAGTAAGCAAGCAAGTAAGCAAGTAAGTAAGTAAATAAACAAGTATGCAAGTAAGTAAATAAACAAGTAAGTAAGTAGGTAAGTAAGTAAGTAAGTAAGTAAGTAAGTAAGTAAGTAAGTAAGTAAGCAAGTAAGCAAGTAGGTTAGTGAGTAAGTAGGTACCTGGATAAATGCATAAGTCCATGTATGCATGTATGTATGTATGCATGTATGCATGTACGTATGTATGTATGTATGTATGTAGGTAGGTAGGTAGGTAGGTAGGTAGGTAGGTGGGTAGGTAGGTAGGTAGGTATGTATGTATGTAGGAGTATAGCTAGCTAACATATATATATATATATGTCTGTGTGTGCATACATATATATATATGTGTTTATGCGTAAATATATATATGTATGTATGCATGCATGCATGTATGTAAGAGTATAGCTCCCCACAGATAGTAGCATTTTTCCATGGTTCAGAAAATTCAGGATTCTGTATTGGCATTCTTTGGGGTTGAGCTTTTGCCGTGGAGGCCTTGGGGTTTGGACTTTGCAGTTCAAGGATTCAAAATGAAACGCTCAACATGAACATGAACCTACTTTCCCATGACAAGCAAAATTCAAGTCTACCTACTCCGCTGATAAGTGGAGCTCTACACTCTACCAAATATGTTTACAGCCCAGTGGCGGCGCTCCCCCACAGGCTTCCGGAACCCAGACTGATGCAGAAATCTGGCCAGAGCAAAGGCATCCGCATCCTCCGGTTGCAAAGCCCTACAAGTAAGTGTCCTGAAGCTCTACAGTCGGAAGGACTTGTAGTTCCCTAAACCCTAAAACCCATTGTAACTACTATGATTATCAGGGATACCATTACCATTACCACTGCTATTGCTGTTGCTAGTAGTACTATTCTCGCTATTGCTATTCCTATTACTATTACTATCACTATTCTTTACTACTAATCTTATAACTATAATACTCTTACTCTTATACTATTATGGCTGGTAATAATGATGCTATTGCTAATGCTGTTGTTGTTGTCGTTGCTATCAACTGTAGTAATGGCAGTAGTAGTAGTAGTAGTAGTAGTAGCAGTAGTAGGTAGTGGTAGTAGTAGTAGTAGTAGTAGTAGTAGTAGTACTAGTAGTAGTAGTAGTAGTAGTAGTAGTAGTGGTAGTGGTAGTGGTA